GAAAGAGGTGATTCTTCACACCATGTGTAGAGGAGGTGTGGAGCTTGTTGCCAAGCAATGTTGAAGTCTACATTGGTGAGTGAAAGGCTGGACAAGTACGTGGAAGAGAAATCCACTGACAGCTACTAAATACAGAGATACCTAGCTCAGAAACTCGCTTGAGCTGAAAATACTTGAAGGACGGAAGAGCTTTCTGGGAAAGTATCATATATACTTACCCTGCTCTTACTGCTGCCTAAGCATCCCCTTATGGCCTCAGGTGGGGATAGCCTGTGTTGGCTAGAGGGTCTGACTGCCAATGGGTAAGTGTTAAAAAATGGTGTGTAGAGAACCTTAAAGACTTGACGCACAGAAATCTTGAAGCTTACAGGAGTGCTTTGCATCTTTGGGGTTCAGAAGGACAGTTGTCTCGTTCGTAAGAATTTTACCAATTCATAAGAATGTTACCAATTCCTGCTCCTGATTAGGATGAGGAAACTGCAATAACAGCTCTTCTAGCAGTATTGTAGCTGAAACTAAAGTTGGCAAATAATTCAGAAAACTAAGGTGTTGGACGACCTTTTCTGAACCTCCTAAAAGCGACCTGTTCAACTCAGCATAGTTAGAAAGAGAGCGACTGGGATATTTAGGTTGATTGTTTTGTTTAATAAAACGTAACTTACTCAGGCAATCTCAGTACTGGATGAATAAGTGGAACTGTAACATTATATTGTTGAATGTCTGCACACAAAGGTGCTAAGCACGCTGCAAAACAATCAGAAACACAGTTCCTTTCTAAAAGGATTTGAGATCAAACTTTCTGATACTGCAAGTGGATCGGTGCAAGCAGAACCATAGTGCCCACAAGGGGAGGAGAGCCTGAGTGAAAACCCTGGTAATGGGGTCGGTGCCTCCTACGTGCAGGATCAAGACTTTCTTTTGGACTGTGTGGAAGAAGATCAAGGTGCAAAAGAGCTACGGGGATAACACACACTTTATTCTGAAGATTGAGCTAAATTAATTATTCTTGTTATTGAAAGCGACGACTTACTGAACAAGAATGCTTAGTGTAGCTTTGTTCAGATGACAGTTTTAGGAGTCATTTGTCTTGAAGTGATAGTGGTACCTGGATGAAGAGGGCAGGGAGGCTTGTATGTATAGCGGGGTGGGCAAAAGCTTGGATTTCCAAGAGGCTTTCTCAGCAGCGTGAAGGGAAAGGCCCTTGCATGGATAAATAACTGGTCAGAAGATGAGAAACAGAAAGCAGGAGAGAACGATCAGTTCCATAAAAATGCTAAATGCTCAGAAGACAGAAAGTGAATCAAATGTGAAGCAGTACTGGGAAAGGAGTACAGGAGATAGTCGGGACCTTTGCTGTGCCCCTGTATGAATCTGTGGCTGACCTGTGTCTTGAAGACTGTGCAGGTTTGGCTCCCTCATCTCCAAAAGATGTAGATGGGAAGTGGAAATAGTTCAGAGGTGGACCTCTGGTCTAACCCAGCACAGACACTGCTCTGTTCCTATGTCAGTGTGTGGCTTTCAGACTGACGCTGTATCGTGGGAAGCAGATCGAAATGCGTTAGCCTGACATGCAGAAGAAGGAAGAATCAGTGGATCAGCAGACACAGCTTCAGAGCTGAGGCTCTGACACGTACTGCTTCTGACTTCTTCAGTGAGTCACCTGTAATTGTGCTCCGTGTCAGAGGACTTAGTCACAGCCTTCTTTGCTGAAAATGATATTTTTAGCACTATTTCTTCAAAATAACTGTGATATTTTTATGTTTTTGAAGTGCGTTCAGGGCTATGACACTTTTTTTTTTTTCCAAAGAGAATTAATGTATATTTTGCACAGGAGGATTAATGATGTTCCAGCTACTGTATTATACATCTTCCTAAAATAAGAACCACTGGAAATTCTTTTCAGTTCTATGCAGGTGCAATGAACTGGGCTTCAGTGAATTTTTTTGATTGCAAGTGAAGTGCCAGAGGCAGAATTTTCTGTCATTAATTATAGTAAGGAAGATACAGTCTGTCATTTTAAAGTTTTTACCTAATAGACTAGTTAAACTTCCTATAACTCATGTATTTTTCTTCTTTTTGTTCTACCTATGTCACACTGCTTTTATTTGACACTACTGTTTAAAATCTCTCATCAAATGTGCATTGATGTGATTATGCTATCTGCTCCCACTAGTGTGTTTGTCTTTATGGTAACATTCTTTTCAATACATCTATTTTCACGCATTTGTTAATTTGAATATTGAGGGTACTTTCATTGCTCGGGCATTGAATGTGTGAAGGACATGCACAAGAATCTCCAGTTAATGGGGAGTTGTGCGTTTTAGTCCTTGCAGATACACGGGAGGTTATTCCCTGAATGGCTACGTAAGTCCACTCCAGAGGTTAAGGTACATCTTGGGTTATATGCAAGAAAGGCTTTGGCTGTGTACACATAATTTAGGTGGAATTGAGAGGCCTCATTTAAAAGATGTATTCAAGCAAGGGATCAAACAATTAACAGCGGTAACAACGCAATTGCTTCAGAGTTAGAATAAAGAGGAAATTCCTGAGGCCTTTAATGAATTTCTGGTTGTAGAGAACAACGCCTTTGCTTAGGAGGGACGTGATAGTGTCCCCCGGCCATGCTGGTTTATTATCTGATAGTGATGTATGCTTTGTCAAGCGTGGTGAAATGTTTCATGTGGCACTTCAGTGTGAACTGTAGTTGCTGAAGCACTGGTGTGCCTCTCGTATAATTGAAATACTCCAGACTCTCGCAGGATATAATTTTAAGGACATTATTTTCTTTAGGTCTTATGTCTTTTATTTAAGTATATTATTCTTGGGCCCAGTTCTGATTTTCTTTTTTGCCTACTTCTGAACTCAAACATGAAGAAGAATTGTATGATGATCCCAAGTCCAGTCTGGGGTCACTGAAAATCTAGTGACAATAGCAGTTGTTTTTGAGAATGGCTTAATTTCCCGGCACCTCCTTCGATTATCCAGTGGCTCCCATCATCTCGAAATGCTGTATCAGTAGTCCGGCTCTGTCCTTTTTCCATCTGCATGCAGGAGTGCCACTTTCCCAAGTTATAACGAAAAAAAAGTATCTACAAATACAAGACAGAGGTTTACTCATTTTATTATGCTTCCTATAGATTATTCTGTAGGGCAAAAAAATGCCTGAAACTATTTTTCTCATAGGCTGATGTTAGATTCATGCACGCTTAGGTACTGCTGTGACATACCTTTTTAAAGGCTAGCTGCAGGAAATTACCTGGTTCAGTAGATGGCACTCTATCCTCTGATCTGGCACTTAACCCATCGATAAAGCACCAAAGGAGTATAATTATTGGATCCGTCACTGAAACTTCATTGTATTCGGACAGCGTGGTGGTACCTGGCCTCCTGCAGAGCGCGCAGGGCAGCCTTCTGGGTTTGTCTGGATGGCTCCGCCGATGCAAGCGGGCCCTTTTCCAGCCGGGCTGCCAGGCTCGCGCCTCGCCACGGCCGTTTTAGTTCGTATTTATTTCGTATTTTATCTATTTCGTATAACCCACGGTCGTTCCTAACGACCCGTGAGCCCCGGGGGCCGCGCAGCGGGGGACCCCCGCAGCCCTCCGCCCGGGGGCGCGGGC